TTTTCGGATTTTCAAAAATACAGATAACATTACTTTAGAATAAATAAATAATTTTCTACATGACGTGTAATTATAAGGGGATTATATTACGTCACGCTTTCTTAAAAATATCTTCTAACAATACGTAACGAATTGGTAGAATGTATTGTTCGCTTTTTCTACTCTATGTGGCCATTGTTAACGCTAAATTTGTTCGAATGTCTTTAGTATTTCTGTCCTTTCTTAGAGATTTCTCTAAAAAATTGTAATCACGTGAATTTTTTTAATATACAGGAAGAAGAAAGGGCTCTACATGTCCCTTAAAGTTAAGGCTCACTGGTGAAGACTAGAAACGCCGAGGAAAAGTGATGGAAAGCTTTCTGTATCTCTCATCTTTAAGGCTTGCTGGAGTAAAATGGCCGAGAAGTAAAGTGCTGTGTGTTTGCAGTAAATATTGTGGGCTTAACGTGCGTTTTACGACTCGGTATAATTATAGGCTTCTCTCTTCCTTTATTATTAGTTGTAGTAATATTACATCCCTTAGTTTAGATAGTAATAATACGGTGAGTTTCGTACAGTTGAATTTGAAGTATTCAGAGGTAATCATAAATACTTTCGTTGTGTGAGTTAGGTCGAATCAAACTGAACAAGTGATGTTGGTTTCATGGGAAGTTGCATTTTTTCCAAATCTTTGATGGAACTCTGAATCAGCCTCCTCCACGTGGTGAGTTCTCGGTTGTCGTTCGTCTGGAAACCACGAAAGACAGGCGAAGAGCTGCTTGTTCCTTTGAACTGAATAATAAAGAATAAAACCATCCTTTCATATTTTTTCTATGTTAAAATTATCTCGTTTAACGTTGTTTTATTTAGCGTTGTTTTCTAGGAACGTATTTCCCGCATTAAGCGTGGTTTTAGTATATTTTTGAAATCTGATTCGTTTTCAAGAAGTGTCATGCCAAAAATTAGTACTTTCCAAATTATTTGCTAAAGTAATAACACTAGAGTTTTCTACCGCTGAAAGTAATTTAGAATGTTTATGCATCTCTTAACGGACAGAATTGAGTAAATATTTTTCAAGTCAATACTACTGTAGTAACTGTTTACAAAGCATTATACACCTACATTTTCGGGTATACACATTGTAGTGGAAAATGTACAGAAATGTACAGAAACAGCAGGAAACTTGACGCAGGAATCAGTAACCTCATTAACAATTGTGTAAATAGTAGACCGTATATGATATAATTTCGTATCTTAAGTAAACGATAATATGACTGTATTTAGTATTAAAATACAACAGTATATTTTAAAATATTTATGTAAAACAACAGAAAGATAACAAATAAGAGCTTACAAACTGCTTCTTTATAAACGGACAGGATTAATACAGTAAACTTTTGGAATTGTGAAATCGATTGTGCATATTTATTTCGTGACTGAGGTATTGAAATATTTTATTATGAAAGAATATTTTAGAGAAAACTTTGCAATAAAACCTGAAATTAAATTACTTGCAAGCATCAAAATAGTTCGGTTAAGTCATATTTGTATATACAAGTAATATCTTTTGAAAATCATACTTATTCCCTATAATATTGTGGAAAATGAATATATTTAAGTAATTTAATTCAAAGTTTAGTCTGTTATTAATTTTTCTATATTTAACAAACAGAATTCTGTTTACTTGAAATTGTGTCATCTCCATGGTTTGACGTAAATATTTACAAAGAAAGTAACCAGTAATTATAGACATTATTTTTAACCTTGTTTGCTATGGACGTAAATACCTGGAAGGAGAAGAGTAACAATACTGTTATGTTTATATTAATAATAAATTTTCGTTATATTACTAGTGGTAAGTATTTTTGTAATTAAGTAAATGTATTACTATACTCGAACCTGTAATAGCGTTATCCTCTCAACAGCGATCAAGCAGCACTTTAATCAATGGATATTGTTGAGAGGTTTGAATATCGTATACATTTTTATCAATATAGAAGCGTTAATATAAGAAACAATAATTGAATTTAACATTCAGTATTGATTTTCATGTATAATAAAATTTTACATTAAGATCGATTTTTAGCAAATAAATATACGGTACAGTCCAACCTGCAATAACGGCCACTTCGTAATGATAGCTATTTTTATGTAACCATAGACAAAGCTGTTCCTGAGACCATAATAAAGTAGAGAAATCGTACGTAACTCTAAAAATAACGCATGTAATTCAGAAAAGGAAGTTTTAAATTTACTGTATTTTATCACAACAATAAATTGATGTATATAAATGTACGTATTTATGCTTGTGTTTTAGTTTTAACTTAATTGTGAGAATAATTAGGGGTAGGATGTTTACGAGTTCTGGACTCTCCTACCTCTTACTCGACTCAATACCTTCAGGTCCGGTCTCTCCTGTCCAAAGAATGGGTTCTGTTGAGCGAAAGGGTTATAGAGTTAAGGATCGTGAAATCCTTTCTCCCGTCAGGATCTGACACCAATCTATCAATTCTTTAGCAGATAGATACGCAATAGATTAAGGACAAATCACGAGCGGTCTCATGAAGGACTTCGGGTTCAGTATGGAGGTGATAATGTCGGAAGAAACACACACCAATCAAAATTCATTAACATTATACCCGTTTATTTTTGAACATTTTTACATAGGTTATTAATTAAGGAATCGAGGTTACAGATCCCTCCCGGGACTTTTAATCCGTATAATTCATAGGTTTCGGCTTTGATAGCGGACAAAATATATATTAGTCGCGACCCTAACCTCGAGTTGTAAATACTCGAGAGAGCTTACATGTCATCGCGGGTACAGTAGGATAAATACCTCTAGTTATAAACGTTGATGTCTAGTTGATCCAAATTTTCGTACTTCCCAGGTTCGAAATTCAGTTCAAAGACGTAGTCAAAGTCGTAATCAAAATCAGAATTGTAAAGTCTATCGAAGATGGTGGCGACGAGAGGCAGGTAATCCACACACACACACACACAGCACAAAAAATAACTTTCTCCCCCTGTGTAGTCATCGCACTTGCCTTTTATGTGGGGGTTCTCTTCTTAAGATTTCCCCATGTACGTCACAGGTGATGATCTTCTTTGACCAATGGTGGGCGAAGTGACAAAATTATGACATAACAGTTAACTCATCTTCTACAAGGAAGTATTTTCGTGGAAATGGAGTTTCATGAGCGATTTTTATGAGAACATTTTGTCGGTTGTTTTTCTCTTTTCGAGTTAACCCTAACTTTTATAAATTCGTTTTGGTTTCGAAACGAAAACGGTAGATGAAAATGAATAAAAATATTTGAATCTCAGCCTTCTTAAATCCGGGCCCTCACATAATTAACTTTACACGTTTCTAAAGGCTTAAATAATTATCTTTATTTAACACTTGGGAGGACTGTCGGGGTCTCTGTTTAAGTGTTAATCCAAACTGCCTACCTGCAGCACACTATAGCAGACCCCCCTATAACACTGTAGATAATTCCGTTTCATACGAATTCCATGTTGTATGAGTCATTTAGATTTTACAAATACGTGGGCCGGGCTGTGAACGGCTCACGTATTTGTGAAATCTAAGTGACTGGTACAACATGAAACTCATATAAAACGAAATTATCTACAGTGTTATAAGAGGATCTACTGTACTTTATACTTTCTTTCCAACACAATGTAAAAAATACACCAGTATTATGAAACCTCTAATCTTACCCCAGTTTTCATGTCATACGTATTACCTGATATCTTTCCACCCTAAATTGTTCAGAGTTACTCTAGTTCCATGAGAAAAAACAAGTTTACTCACAAAATAATTAAGTACTTATGACCATTAATATATTGATTATAACAATCAAATTCGTAATTTTATTCTACTATTGTTACATTATAAAAATAAAAAAACAGATTCTAGTACACAGAATAAGCGTTATCTTAAGTTTTTTTTAGCTTTATATCGCATGAGAGATAAAAAATTGGCAGATAATTATGAATATCTGAAAAGTTTTAAACTAAAAAATATTAGTGTCAACTGTATTTTTGTGTAATTTCACTAAGAATTCTTTACCTAACTTCATGTAAAAGTATTAGTTAAAGCAGAAATATTAAAACATAATACTNTGGTTGCTCTATCTTCACACTTTTCTATCCTCCTTTACTTCTTCTTCTTGCTCTTTCTTCTTGCTTTCCTAAACTCTTCTTTCCGACTTCTAATAGGGTAAAGTCTGTTGCTTATCACGGATAGCCCTCTATTCCTTTCTACTAAATGTAAATAACAATACTAAGATTGGTGCTGGCAAACCTTCTTCGATCATTCAAGTTAGATATATATGAATTTAAAGTAAGCTATCCTTTCATTTTCTCTTATGTAATTATAATGTAGGCAAAACAACTGAAATCTTTTCTATAGTATCGTTGCTGGTTTACCAATGAATCCAGATTCAATAAATGTATCCATAAATTATTATGTAAAATTATAAATACATTCGAGAAAATTATTTGTAACAGATTATCTAAGTTGTATTTTCTAACTGTATTCATTTCTTACAGGAAGTCGAAATAGTGTCTTCATTTTTCATAAATTCTCCTAAGGGTGGAACTATCATCAAGGCAACTCCATTGCAAGTTTGATCAATCCTAGCTTCCTATTAATGTAATGTGAATCATAAATAAAATTATAGTTGTAGACAATTGTATGAAATTGAAATATCTGTACATAGAAATTATTTTATTTTCAACTGCAAAATAATTTAAAGTCTGAAATGTTATTGGAATACCCTGACATTTAATTTGAATAAATAGATTTCGTGATTTGCATAATTATTTATAATAAATGAAGGATTAAATTCTATAATACGAAGTGTCCTAAAAGTTTCGAATTAATGGCATTCACAGAAAACTTGCTTTGCTGCATATTCTATGTTCATACACGTTTGCAATATGATTCTACGTGTTCTTCTTGAAGGTCTTCAGTTTTTGAGAGTAGTATACTATATATTTTATTATTATGAAGTATATTCATTATTATATCTGTCATTATATAGATTCATATACGAGAAATTTAGCAAATTGAAGCTTTTAGTGTAGATTATCAAATCAACAGTACACAGAATTAAGATGTATCTAAGTACAGCGATACTGTTTTCACTTTTCATTTGTGTCACTTCATTATGGATAAGGTAAGTAACATAATGTTCATTGTACTTAAGTTTGTTTGTTTAGTTAAGTTACGGCAACTCAACACTTGGGCGATCTGCCTAGGAGAGTGCCTTCCTGATGGTCTTTTTAAAGGTAACTGGCCCCTATTCTGGCGTTACAGACGTGGATAAACTCCACTTGTCCAACCCTTCCTGGAGAGGCGAGAACCCACGACCGAATTCAGCATTCAGGGAATGGAACCGCTTCGCCACTGGTTGGCCAACATGAACCTTCTACTATTGCGAAAAATATTTACATTTAAATTCTAATTTCATTTATACAGATGGAGAAAACGGAGAATGACTTTATTTCAACGTTACGGTATACCAGGACCAAAACCGAATTTCTTCGTCGGAAATTTAAATGAATTTAACAATGGAGTAAGTACTTTCACTAACAGATCTAAACACAGAAAAAGTAAAACATTGTTCTGTCGCACTCGTACAGAGAGAGAAACGAATTGAAGAATGGTTGCAACAATACGGAAAAATATTTGGGTAATTTCTAATTTCATACATTTTATTAATATAATTATAATTCATAAGTAAAAATATTTGTAACGTTCCCACCTTAGCTTTTATCTAGGTGCAATTCCTTATATAGTATGCGCTGACGTTGAGCTTTTAAAACTCATCCAAATAAAAGACAACCAGAAATTTTACAATAAATATGTACGTATCTAACAGAAATTGATATAAATTACAAAGTTTCACTAGNCCTTACATATAATAACAGTATTAAAAATAAGTTATATATAAAGGTTTTCATTACTAAAGTAAAAGATGAACAATCATTTTTAACAAAATTTATTGTGTTTTCTAGTAGATGGAATTAGTAAACAGATTAGTTGATTCACCTTACTAAAGGTCAAGTACATTCAAAAAGTGATCGATGCCAGGAAAAAATTAAATGTGAGATTATTTACAGTAAATTAATTTGAAAACTTTATATAATTTGATACATATATTATTATTTTAGCAACGTCCACAAGATCTGCTGCAAAGAATCATAGATGCAGAAGATGAGAGCAATGGAGAAATCAAGAAACTTTCAGACCATATTGTAATTGCAAATGCAATGATGTTTATGGCAGCTGATTATTAAAAGTTACTTAAGTTGTCAGAATGATACCCGAGAATTATTGATAATATGAAATTTTTAATGGTATTTGCAGATATGACACGACAAGTTCTACTTTACGATGGTGTATTTATCATCTCGCTTGTAATCCTGAAATACAACGAAAAGTCAACGAAGAAATTAAATCCAACGTTTCAGACGATGTAAACTGCAATCTTTAATTCCAATTAAAAATTCTACTGCTCTTGAGTTTTTGGGATCGTATGACGAAAGTCTAAAATCCTGAAAATTTTTTCATGGGAGATCTTTCCCATATGTTTGGAGTCTATCCAAATGGATTTCAATCGCATTTTTATGGGCTGCTGAATCCATCACAATATGATAAAACACTTACTTGGTGCAAACAGGCCGCAAAATTCAAAATGAATCTATAGAAGAAGGCAAAAACTTTTCAAGGTTTCGCCTTCTGGTAGGACTTCTCTGGGAAACACTGCCTTCTGAAGGACCCCATTTAGGCGTTAGATATATTTTACATTTTATAAATCCCGAAAATCCAAAGCATTATCAATATCTTTCCAATATTCAGATGCACCAGATCTGTAATCTTGCTTTAACGCCGACAAGAAATATTAATTTTTCTTATAAATTTAAACTATAAAAACATTTTTCATAAATATATTTACTGAAAAATCTAAAATTTGTAATAAATTTAATGTCAGTCTTCTTAAACTTAATTAGGTAGATGTGCAGTGTACGGACTTAGGCAGTTTTCAGTTATTAAATCAAGTTATCTCAGAAACACTTCGCCTTCACCCATTGACTTCAGTGTAAGTTGTCTTCTTACTTTTTATACAACTTTACTGAATTAAACATTAAATGTTATGCATACAATTTACTTATAACAGCGTAGTGAATAGATTATGCTCAGACGATTATTTTTATAAAGACATCACCATTCCTAAAGGTAGTGTTATAATGGTTCCAGTACAAGTGCTGCAAAACGATCAAGCTTATTGGAGTGAACCTGATAAATTCAATCCCTACAGGTTACAGATTAATTACGCTTACAAGTATATTAAAATGTTATATATATATATATTCACAAATTACACTTTTCCAGATTTTCACCTGAGGAACGGCAAAAAATTGATTCCATCATTTACCAACCATTCGGTGCAGGGCACAGAATATGTATAGGTCAAAGGTTAGCAATAACAATACTAAGATTGGTGCTGGCAAACCTTCTTCGATCATTCAAGTTAGAGATATATAAAGATAAAGTAAGTTATACATATCGTTTCCTTTTATGTAATTATAATGTAGGCAAAACAACTGAAATCTTTTCTATAGTATCGTTGCTGGTTTACCAATGAATCCAGATTCAATAAATGTATCCATAAATTATTATGTAAAATTATAAATACATTCGAGAAAATTATTTGTAACAGATTATCTAAGTTGTATTTTCTAACTGTATTCATTTCTTACAGGAAGTCGAAATAGTGTCTTCATTTTTCATAAATTCTCCTAAGGGTGGAACTATCATCAAGGCAACTCCATTACAAGTTTGATCAATTCTAGCTTTCTATTAATGTAATGAGAATCATAAATAAAATTATAATTGTAGACAATTGTATGAAATTGAAATATCTGTACATAGAAATTATTTTATTTTCAACTGCAAAATAATTTAAAGTCTGAAATGTTATTGGAATACCCTGACATTTAATTTGAATAAATAGATTTCGTGATTTGCATAATTATTTATAATAAATGAAGGATTAAATTCTATAATACGAAGTGTCCTAAAAGTTTCGAATTAATGGCATTCACAGAAAACTTGCTTTGCTGCATATTCTATGTTCATACACGTTTGCAATATGATTCTACGTGTTCTTCTTGAAGGTCTTCAGTTTTTGAGTCTTTGTATGACATTCTAATGAGTCTTACTAGCACATTGAAATAGTTAGCTACTTATCTACAATCTATTAAGTTCCACAATAAATATAAGCAGAATGTTTAAAGTGAAACTTGAAATACCCTAAGAGGTTTTCATAGTTCTGAAAATAAAAATTGAATTTATGATTGCCTTTGAAGCAATGAAGCGATGAAATTAATCTGCAAATTGATATTATATTTGAAATATTGACAAAACTCTGATATATTATCTCAATTTAATTTCATAAAACGAGGCAAAAGACAAACGAAACATAATATTATAATGTCAATACTAGTGAGTATAGCCATATTTACTATCGTAAGATAGCTGTGGCAAATGTAAACAATTTGAAAAGTTGGTCTTTATCTACATAAATATTTAAAATTTACATATTAACTACTTTTCATACAGATTAAAAACAAATAAATAAAAATACAAATACACAAACGAAGATCCACAACTTGTAATAACAAAATAGCTCAGAACTCAAAGAGGTGATTAAGGGGCCACGAGGAAGCCGCATAATTTTAAATGTGATTACGTTTACGACAGATTGTAATGCTAACGTATGCTGGTAATGATCAGTTTATTATTTAGTTTAATATTAGATTAAAAAATCTGCGAGTCATAAGGTTTTTAATCTAATATTAAATATCTAACAGATATGTCGTCGGCTACGACAGATAAATCGAAGTGATTGCGACAGAATGTAGTGTTGTAACAAGCTTCAAATCAGCGAGTATAGAAGTGAGAGAATACAGAATGTAGTTGAGGTAAGTACAATGTAAGTATTTTAACTAGAATTAAAGTATATTCTCGGTAATTCGGCCGTTCGCATCCAGTAATCCGACACAAATAACTTTCGGTTGTTTTCGGCAGATTTGCCAAGTCACAGGCAAGATTTTTACTAGTTCAAACCGTAATTTTTTATGTTAGTAACATATCTTAATTACACATCTTATGGTTACATATTATTCCTTACATATAATAACAGTATTAAAAATAAGTTATATATAAAGGTTTTCATTACTAAAGTAAAAGATGAACAATCATTTTTAACAAAATTTATTGTGTTTTCTAGTAGATGGAATTAGTAAACAGATTAGTTGATTCACCTTACTAAAGGTCAAGTACATATACTTGATCAGGAAGGATTGAACATCTAAATTATAGATAGATATGTTTATTTTCAATATAAGTTTATTTCATTATTACATTAGACGCTATCATGAAACATGCGCTTTTTAACAATGAATACAAGTGAGAAACAATTTATTAAATAGAAGGTGTGTATAAGATTTTGTTACTAATCTTGAAACGTGAGAATGATGTACACATAAACTGCTAACAAAAAAAATAAGTTTATAAAGAGAATTGGCAGGGAATAATCTTTATTTTTAAAAGTCGAAGTCAATTTTATGGACTGAACTTATGTTTTTTTATATATTGAAAAACTTTTGTCCTTTAACAAGCAAAGTATACGTGTTAATTTACTTCTCTGCCTTTTGTCGAAAATTTCTGATATTTTGCAGGAAAGTTTGTATGTTAAGAAGATTGTTTCTGTTAAATTTTGGTGTTTAAAAATCGACGGGTTGGAGAGATAAAAAAGACTGTGTTTATTTAGTGTATTGTCTTAATGAAGATTTCACTCATTATTAACACTTAAAATTTTTTTAATAATATTTATATTTATTCTAAAAATTAAGCTTTCTGTCATTCTATAATAAGCAAAAATATAANTAGTCAAAGTCGTAATCAAAATCAGAATTGTAAAGTCTATCGAAGATGGTGGCGACGAGAGGCAGGTAATCCACACACACACACACACAGCACAAAAAATAACTTTCTCCCCCTGTGTAGTCATCGCACTTGCCTTTTATGTGGGGGTTCTCTTCTTAAGATTTCCCCATGTACGTCACAGGTGATGATCTTCTTTGACCAATGGTGGGCGAAGTGACAAAATTATGACATAACAGTTAACTCATCTTCTACAAGGAAGTATTTTCGTGGAAATGGAGTTTCATGAGCGATTTTTATGAGAACATTTTGTCGGTTGTTTTTCTCTTTTCGAGTTAACCCTAACTTTTATAAATTCGTTTTGGTTTCGAAACGAAAACGGTAGATGAAAATGAATAAAAATATTTGAATCTCAGCCTTCTTAAATCCGGGCCCTCACATAATTAACTTTACACGTTTCTAAAGGCTTAAATAATTATCTTTATTTAACACTTGGGAGGACTGTCGGGGTCTCTGTTTAAGTGTTAATCCAAACTGCCTACCTGCAGCACACTATAGCAGACCCCCCTATAACACTGTAGATAATTCCGTTTCATACGAATTCCATGTTGTATGAGTCATTTAGATTTTACAAATACGTGGGCCGGGCTGTGAACGGCTCACGTATTTGTGAAATCTAAGTGACTGGTACAACATGAAACTCATATAAAACGAAATTATCTACAGTGTTATAAGAGGATCTACTGTACTTTATACTTTCTTTCCAACACAATGTAAAAAATACACCAGTATTATGAAACCTCTAATCTTACCCCAGTTTTCATGTCATACGTATTACCTGATATCTTTCCACCCTAAATTGTTCAGAGTTACTCTAGTTCCATGAGAAAAAACAAGTTTACTCACAAAATAATTAAGTACTTATGACCATTAATATATTGATTATAACAATCAAATTCGTAATTTTATTCTACTATTGTTACATTATAAAAATAAAAAAAACAGATTCTAGTACACAGAATAAGCGTTATCTTAAGTTTTTTTTAGCTTTATATCGCATGAGAGATAAAAAATTGGCAGATAACTATGAATATCTGAAAAGTTTTAAACTAAAAAATATTAGTGTCAACTGTATTTTTGTATAATTTCACAAAGAATTCTTTACCTAACTTCCTGTAAAAATATTAGTTAAAGTAGAAGTATTAAAACATAATACTATCAAATAGATTTTTATCTATTGCAGAACGTACGACGTTGATTTCTCGTGTTATTAAATTGGTTGCTGTCAAGTAACCTTATCATATCACAGATAAATGTACTTATTTTCTGCACGCGTTGCGAAAATGCAAGTAGCATTACCTACTTTTACATTATAAATAAGATTATTTTATTAAGTACAGTTCGATTAAATTAGTTTCTTATGGCAAAGAAAGGAACAATTAGAATTACCTTGATATTGTATTGAAAAGTAATTTAATGAATTAATAAAGGTGAGTAATTTTGTGTTTCCTAATTAATAGTATTGTATTCAGGATAAATTCTTGGAAAGTAATCTTAACTTACTATTGAAAGTAGGAAGAATCGTGGTAATGGAATGAGGAAGCTCAGGAGGTTTCTCAATCTGAAAACAGTTATTTAGAAGGTTCAACTGAATGAAAACGAAATCTGTAAATTATAATATAAAATAGCAAGAATGTAAGAAAAAAAATAGGAAATTAGATTATATATATCAGAAATCAGATAGCATGGAAGGGGCAAAAGTCATATATGAAATAACTAGGTATATTACGCATGTATAAAATATCGTTTTAATAAATGGTAAAGAGAGTAATATATTATTAGTAAAAGGAATTCGCGTAAAATAAATAGATATAATTTATTTATCTTGTGAACTAATAAATAAAACTATTAAAAAGGTGGAAATGTAGGAGGAGATTCGTCGTGACCTGTGAATAATTTTAAGTAGATTAAGCTAGGAATTAAGTTGTTAAATAGTAGTATACTATATATTTTATTATTATGAAGTATATTCATTATTATATCTGTCATTATATAGATTCATATACGAGAAATTTAGCAAATTGAAGCTTTTAGTGTAGATTATCAAATCAACAGTACACAGAATTAAGATGTATCTAAGTACAGCGATACTGTTTTCACTTTTCATTTGTGTCACTTCATTATGGATAAGGTAAGTAACATAATGTTCATTGTACTTAAGTTTGTTTGTTTAGTTAAGTTACGGCAACTCAACACTTGGGCGATCTGCCTAGGAGAGTGCCTTCCTGATGGTCTTTTTAAAGGTAACTGGCCCCTATTCTGGCGTTACAGACGTGGATAAACTCCACTTGTCCAACCCTTCCTGGAGAGGCGAGAACCCACGACCGAATTCAGCATTCAGGGAATGGAACCGCTTCGCCACTGGTTGGCCAACATGAACCTTCTACTATTGCGAAAAATATTTACATTTAAATTCTAATTTCATTTATACAGATGGAGAAAACGGAGAATGACTTTATTTCAACGTTACGGTATACCAGGACCAAAACCGAATTTCTTCGTCGGAAATTTAAATGAATTTAACAATGGAGTAAGTACTTTCACTAACAGATCTAAACACAGAAAAAGTAAAACATTGTTCTGTCGCACTCGTACAGAGAGAGAAACGAATTGAAGAATGGTTGCAACAATACGGAAAAATATTTGGGTAATTTCTAATTTCATACATTTTATTAATATAATTATAATTCATAAGTAAAAATATTTGTAACGTTCCCACCTTAGCTTTTATCTAGGTGCAATTCCTTATATAGTATGCGCTGACGTTGAGCTTTTAAAACTCATCCAAATAAAAGACAACCAGAAATTTTACAATAAATATGTACGTATCTAACAGAAATTGATATAAATTACAAAGTTTCACTAGTTTTGAATAATTTGTTTGAATATTTTTGCCAGTGGATCCTTCCTGATGCTGGATTTCCTCACAATTCTTCTAGAAATATGCTTTCTACAATAGCTGATCAGAAATGGAAGAATTTAAGAAATACACTAACCAGTTGTTTCAGTACAGGAAAGATTAAAATGGTAAATACAATCTTTATTCGAAATTTCAGTATACAGTTCTTTAAGAGTGCGGTAAGTTTTTTATATTTCAGATGGGTTCCCTGATGTCTCGTCCGATTAAAATCTTCTTAAAAAATATAGAGAAGCAAGGTGATCAGCGGTTCGATATTGAAAATATGTGTAAAAGATTAGTGTTTGATATAATCTGCACATCAGTTTTCGGTATAATCACAGATGTGCAAAATAATGAAACTAATACCTTTATCGAGTCTGCTCACGCTGCGTTTTCAACTGATACTTCTGATGCTTTAGTTGGAATATCAAGTGATGTTTCAATTATCTTTAACAGTGTACCTTATTGTTTAATAAGATACTAATTAATTTAGTAATAAATTTTTACGTCATTTAGTTTGTTTTCCGGAAGTGGAACCAATATGCAGTTTCCTTCGATATAAAATTGAGAACTTGAAGCATTTTCTGAATCTACCATCTTGGACCACGGTTTATGAGACATCTCAAAAAGTGATCGATGCCAGGAAAAAATTAAATGTGAGATTATTTACAGTAAATTAATTTGAAAACTTTATAAAATTTGATAGATATATTATTATTTTAGCAACGTCCACAAGATCTGCTGCAGAGAATCATAGATGCAGAAGATGAGAGTAATGGAGAAATAAAGAAACTTTCAGACCATATTGTAATTGCAAATGCAATGATGTTTATGGCAGCTGGGTATTAAAAGTTACTTAAGTTGTAAGTGTGGTACCAGAGAATTATTGTTAATGTGAAATTTTAATGATATTTGCAGATATGACACGACAAGTTCTACTTTACGATGGTGTATTTATCATCTCGCTTGTAATCCTGAAATACAACGAAAAGTCAATGAAGAAATTAAATCTAACGTTTCAGATGATGTAAACTGCAATCATTAATTCCAATTAACAATTCTACTGCTCTTGGGTTTTTGGGATCGTATGACAAAAGTCTAAAATCCTGAAGACTTTTTCATGGGAGATCTTTCCCATATATTTGGAGTCTATCCAAAAGGATTTTAATCGCATTTTTATGGGCTGCCGAATCCATCACGATATGAAAAAACACTTACTTAGTGCAGACAGGCCGCAAAATTCAAAAATGAATATATAGAAGAAGGCAAAAATTTTTCAAGGTTTTGCCTTCTGGTAAGACTTTTCTGGGAAACACTGTATTCTACAGGCCCCCATTAAGGCGTTAGATATATTTTACATTTTATAAATCCCGAAAATCCAAAGCATTATCAATATCTTCAAGTATTCAGATGCACCAGATCTGTAATCTTGCTTTAACGCCGATAAAAAATATTAATTTTTCTTATAAATTTAAACTATAAAAACATTTTTCATAAATATATTTACTGAAAAATCTAAAATTTGTAATAAATTTAATGTCAGTCTTCTTAAACTTAATTAGGTAGATGTGCAGTATACGGACTTAGGCAGTTTTCAGTTATTAAATCAAGTTATCTCAGAAACACTTCGCCTTCACCCATTGACTTCAGTGTAAGTTGTCTTCTTACTTTTTATACAACTTTACTGAATTAAACATTAAATGTTATGCATACAATTTACTTATAACAGCGTAGTGAATAGATTATGCTCAGACAATTATTTTTATAAAGACATCACCATTCCTAAAGGTAGTGTTATAATGGTTCCAGTACAAGTGCTGCAAAACGATCAAGCTTATTGGAGTGAACCTGATAAATTCAATCCCTACAGGTTACAGATTAATTACGCTTACAAGTATATTAAAATGTTATATATATATATATTCACAAATTACACTTTTCCAGATTTTCACCTGAGGAACGGCAAAAAATTGATTCCATCATTTACCAACCATTCGGTGCAGGGCACAGAATATGTATAGGTCAAAGGTTAGCAATAACAATACTAAGATTGGTGCTGGCAAACCTTCTTCGATCATTCAAGTTAGAGATATATAAAGATAAAGTAAGTTATACATATCGTTTCCTTTTATGTAATTATAATGTAGGCAAAACAACTGAAATCTTTTCTATAGTATCGTTGCTGGTTTACCAATGAATCCAGATTCAATAAATGTATCCATAAATTATTATGTAAAATTATAAATACATTCGAGAAAATTATTTGTAACAGATTATCTAAGTTGTATTTTCTAACTGTATTCATTTCTTACAGGAAGTCGAAATAGTGTCTTCATTTTTCATAAATTCTCCTAAGGGTGGAACTATCATCAAGGCAACTCCATTACAAGTTTGATCAATTCTAGCTTTCTATTAATGTAATGAGAATCATAAATAAAATTATAATTGTAGACAATTGTATGAAATTGAAATATCTGTACATAGAAATTATTTTATTTTCAACTGCAAAATAATTTAAAGTCTGAAATGTTATTGGAATACCCTGACATTTAATTTGAATAAATAGATTTCGTGATTTGCATAATTATTTATAATAAATGAAGGATTAAATTCTATAATACGAAGTGTCCTAAAAGTTTCGAATTAATGGCATTCACAGAAAACTTGCTTTGCTGCATTTTCTATGTTCATTCACGTTTGCAATATGATTTTACGTGTTCTTCTTGAAGGTCTTCAGTTTTTGAGTCTTTGTATGACATTCTAATGAGTCTTACTAGCACATTGAAATAGTTAGCTACTTATCTACAATCTATTAAGTTCCACAATAAATATAAGCAGAATGTTTAAAGTAAAACTTGAAATATCCTAAGATGTTTTTATAGTTCTGAAAATAAAAATTAAATTTATGATTGTCTTTGAAGCGATGAAATTAATCCGAAAATTGATATTATATTTGAAATAGTAACAAAATTCAAATACATTATCTCAATTTAATTTCATAAGACTAGGTAAAAGACAAAAGAAACACAATATTATAATGCCAATACCAGTGAGTATAGCCATGTTTACCATCGTAAGACAGCTGTGGCAAATGTAAACAATTGGGAAGCTGGTCGATATCTACATAAGTATTTAAAATTTACATATTAACTACTTTTCATACAGATTAGAAAGATATAAATAAAAATACAAATACACAAACGAAAATCCGAACTTGTAATAACAAAATAGCTTTTAATAGATGATATTTTCTTTGATTTTTTTCTATTCTGAGATTAAGAATTACTTTCTAAAAATATTTAGGTTATGTAATTGTAAACGTTTTGTTAAATTAAAAGGTTAAATCCTAACATAACCTAATTGTAAATGATAAATGTAATTGTAAATCAATACATATTTTCATTTTGCTTTCTTGAAAAATTCATTTGGATTCTTGCTGGACTTTCTCACTGGTGGTTAAGGGGCCACGAGGAAGCCCCATAATTTTCAATGTGATTACATTTACGACAGATTGTAATGCTAACGTATGATGGTAATGATCAGTTTAATCTTGAGTTCAATATTAGATTAAAAAAATCTGCGAGTGATAAGGTTTTTAATCTAATATTAAATATTTAACAGATATGTCGTCGGCTACGAGAGATAAATCGAAGGGATTGCGACAGAATGTAGTGTTGTAACAAACTTCACATCAGCAAGTGTAGAAGTCAGTGAATACAGAATGTAGTTGAGGTAAGCACTTCATCGGAAGATTCTTCGAGTCGAAGTTTCTTTCGGTAAAAATCCCACCAGTGGCTAGGTGGTTTTCGTACCTTGAACACGATGAGTTCGTTCGTGAGTTCGCACCTCGCACAGACGGGCTAGCCACGTGGAGTTTTCCGGGTTTTCTCCACGTCTGTAACACCTCCCAGAAGGCATTCCCCTAGGCAGATCGCCCATGTGTTGCGTTGCCATAACTTAACAAACAAACAAACTTTTTCCGTAAGGAAGAAGAAATTGATCTAAAGTTGATTGTCTTACGCTTTTAAGCAAAATCTTTCTCAAATGCGATAGCGCGTTGTCGTTTTCTATTGCCACTATGACTTTTTTCTTTCTTAGATGTCATATAGATTAAATATATAAATCACAAAACTGAAAAAAGAAGTACAGCACAAACACTCGGAAAAGCAATGCTTAATTCGCGCATGCTTAACACCAACTAAAATTTGACACAAAACACCGTTACGTTCGTTATCCGAATTTTGTTCGTTATCAGAGACAAAACTTTTGCAAAATAAAAGTTCGTTAACCGATTTGGTCGTTAACCAGGACGTTCGTTAACCGGGGTTCCACTGTAAAAACTTCGGCCACAAGCTCTCTAATAACTAAATTTTATTATATATAATACAGTATTATATTATATACAATATTACATTGTATATGTAAGCATTTTTAGCTATAAAGCAAAACAAGGCTCTATTTTTCGGGTCGGAAACGGATTAATCCATTTTATATTGTTTCTTACGGANTTCAATGCTGTGGGTTTGGACATTGGGCTAGAGATTGTAAGGAATCTCAAAAATGTAGCCATTGTTCCAAACAGCACAGATTCAGTGAGTGTAAACTTACGAATACTATACCGGCATGTACCAATTGTAAGAGAAACAATATTGGGCTTCCACCGGATAAAAAACTAGCAACAAACCACAACGCATTTGACAAGATATGCCCTCTTCTTAAAAAGTTAAGGAAACAATTAATTGGAAGAATAGATTATGGACCATAGTACTACAATAAATAATACTCAGTATAGTAATAAGAATACTCAGCATACTAGCAATAAAAGGAATACGAAAGAAGAGGATAATTTAAATATCATACAGTTAAATGCACAAAGGGGAAAAGCACCAAGCTCATTATTGGCCTACAAAGCAAACGAACTGAATGTTGATATAGCATTAATTCAGGAACCCTATACAGTGAATAAGAAAATAATGGGACTTGGATGCTGGCAGCTCATTTACAAACCAACAGATAAAACACCAAAAACTTGTATAAGTGTTAGGAATAAAAATATAAACATAGCATTAATCCCAGAATTATCATCGAATATCATAACAACGGTGGTAATCCATCTTAAAATTAGTATAATTTTGATTAATGTATACCTTTCGCCATATATGGACGATGCAAAAGGAGTGGAAGAGATTGCAAGGATTTTAGGGAGGATAAATATTAAAAATATAATTGTAGCCGGGGACATAAACGCAAAGTCAGCGGTATGGTTTAATGAAAAGGAGGATCACAGGGGACGTCTAATTTTGGACCTAATGGAACAGTATGATCTGGTATCAGTTAATATGACTGACTACCCGACTTTTTTCACGAGCCAAGCAAAAGGTTGGACAGATGTTTGTTTAATGTCAAGTGAGTTAGCGCAAAATGTGAAAAATAGTGAAACCCTCCTCTCAATTACAGCAAGTGACCACAGATTCATTAGCACACAAATAGGAAATCTAGGAAACAAAAATCAACAGTATTATTTGAATATGAAAAATATCAACTGGGAACTATACAAAAGATTATTCAATGAAAATTGGAGCAATCACGAATATCCAAAAATGAGAACTACTACAGATATAGATGGCTATGTAGAACACTTGACAAATGACATGCTAAGAGCAGGATGCCAAGCAGGTAAAATGACACGACGGAGACCAAATATGAAAACGTACTGGTGGACTGAGGAATTGGAGAAACAGAAGAAAAACATAAACAGATTAAGGAAAAAATTCCAGAGAGCAAACGACAAGGAACAAAAACAACAATTAAGATTTAAATATAAAATAGAGGTTAAAAAATATAAGAAAAAAATTAACAAAACTCGTACCAAAAGTTGGAGAGAATTTTGCGGTGAATGTAATGAAAAGGGACCTTGGGAGTTGCCATATAAAATAGTTTTTAGGAAAAAGAAAAAGCTCCAATTGCCAGATATTATAAATTGGGAGAATGACACAACAGAGGACGAGAATTTTAATATTGAGGCTAATTTAAAAAAACTATTGGATTATCACTTCCCACTAGAAAACTCTACCAATAATACTACCAATAATATTGATACTGTTAATTATCAAAGAAATATGAACAAGGATGACAACCAGGATATACAATGTAAACTCTTTACTTTTAAGGAAGTTAGACAAGCAATTTATACAATGGGTAATAAAAAGGCACCGGGAATGGATAATATCACATCAGAAATGCTGAAACATGCTTTTGACGAGATTCCGGTGGTGTTTGTTTATCTGTACAATGAATGTTTACAACAGAAATATTTCCCCAGTGTGTGGAAGACTGCTAGTATCAAATTAATACCCAAAAATGACAATCCAACCAAGGCTTCGGACTATAGACCAATTAGTCTTCTTCCCACTATGGGGAAAGCCTTGGATTATCTAATAATAAGAAGAGTTAATTGGGAACTCTATACTTCCGGAAAAATGCACGAGAATCAATATGGATTTCGTACAAATAAATCAACTATCAATGCCCTTATGAGTGTGAAACAATTTATACATACAGCCTGGGATAATAAAAGTCACGCCTTGCTCATTACTATTGATTTTAGTAAAGCTTTCGACAATCTGAGTTGGAAGGATATCTTAAATACATTAGAGGAAATGAAACAGACAACTAACGAAATAAACCTGCTTAAAAGTTATCTCCAAAATAGATATATTGTCTTTCAGGCTAACAATATTCATATTAAAAAAGAAATAAACAAAGGTTGTCCTCAAGGTTCGCGCAGCGGACCAAGTATGTGGAATCTGGTTTTCGACAAATTATTAAGAAAATTCGAT